AGAGCTAAAACACAGTGATAAAAAAAAAAACAAGGATAAATATGGGGAAGCCTTCTGTAGGTGGAAGGACAAAATGAAGGACAGGGATTTTTAAAGGGATGCTGATGTCACCATATGACTCCTTGACAAGTGATCTGTATGGCCTAAAATAGCATAAAGCTAACCTTTTTCCATTTGGTTCCCGTTACCTTAGAAAGCATAACAGTAGATCCCACAAATATCTACCAGCTTTCTTGGTGCATTATTATAGGTTTATATGGGTTTAGTAGCTTTTGAAGCTTCGGAGAACTCTAGCTTATTGTCAAAATTAATGATGCCATATTTTAGAGACTTCCCTTCGGACGACATGGTAACATCTGCAATGTCGAGGCTTTTTGATACACAGCGGGTACCGTTTCCACAACGTGTGTTTGAGGCAGTGATGTCTGATTGAAATAACCCTGTTTGACAACTAGATGACTATTTTTACGCAATATCCCTTTAATATTTTAATCGAATCCTTTTTTTATGTATCATTTCGGACCTTTTTCGCAGAACGGGAAATTATGATCTGGAGCAATTTGTTTTCAGTCAGCGCCAACATAATCAACATTTCATCGCTGACACGTTTCGGTTTTTTACAGGTTTATGTCTTTGGTTTATTTCAATGTCAGACTGAGCAAAAGCCCTAATTTCCAGCTGTCGTTACCCCGGCAACCACTAATCATTTCCTGTCTTCAGTTTGATATCTAGGCTTCAAAGTAAACATGGAGCGTTGTAAACATTAGCATGTTGCCTCTTCGGAGGTTGTGCTCAATGCTCAAATCCTGAGGGAATTGATTAATGCCCGTCTCCATGGTGACACAAAGCATCGCTGGTTTCACAGTTACGTTTTTTTCCCCACTATGAATAGATCCTGTAATCAAAGCAGAACAGACAAAAAAGTGACGGTCTGTCAAAGGCTGATACTCTTTGCTAAACGCAGGAGTTAAAACGGGCAAATACGTGATTTATTACGACAAATTTGACAATATTATACCCTATTTTTTATTATTTATTAATGCTTATTATCTAACCCCCTAACTTTTTTAGTTGTCATAATCCCCTATTATTTCCTGACCTTATGACCTTTTTTTCTTTTCAATTTTTAATGCAAGTCACAAAGCTCTTCTAAACCGATAATGTTTGATTACATTCAACCCCCGAAGGGCTAATCAATAGAAATTGAATAACAACAAACAAACCATTTTTAATTATCTCAATATTACATTTTTGCATTTAGATTTTAAAAATGGAAACCGTAGAATAACAGTTATTTCTTTTTGCGTTAAGGTTTTGTAACAGAAAAACCAAAGAATAAAGCAGAGACAGACAGATTTATCAGGCTGCCGATATTATTCCTTTCTTCCTTTATCCGATTCATTACCTCATTAAGCAGCCATACCTTGAGATCATGTGAATCACATGCATTTCTGCCCTTTTTTAATGTTTTATTACCAAAGTTCCTTATTTGTTTGAGTGTTGTGCAACATTTGTTATCATTGTGTCATCATTGTTGCTTTTTCTAACTTAAGTAGAAAAGGCAATATAGTAAAATTTGGCAGCTCATATCAAGGATAATCAGTATGAGCATAAAGAACCTGCATCAGTTAGTTTCTAGAAAGCACCGTGCACTGATTAGAAATATGCATATAGATCTTTTTTGAGGTTGCTAAAAGACATCCCTGGTAGATTTTGCATTGAGTCAAGCTCCAGGCCTGACATGTGAGGTTAACCCAGATCTAGTTAATTCTCTAATATTTACACCCAGCAGTGTTTGATGTGTGTTTTTAGAAGAAATCCTCCATTGGAGATTATGCCTTTTTTTTCTCCGCTTCTTTTTTTGTCGATGATGATAAATGCATGCGTTATTCTGTTAGTAATCCCTAGTTTTCTGAAAGAAGGGCAAAGTTTCACATGTTTCCCGGCACCTGGCTGTGATTTCTTGCAGGCTGCAGAGACACCGCGCTCTGAGCGGTAGTGGAGCGTGCCACTTTTTTTTAAAGTGAAAAGCTAAAGCTTTCTAGCACCTCTCTAGATGTTACTAACAGGTGCTAGGCAGGTGAAAATGTGCTATAATAGTTAAGGTTGGGGGGCTAAGAGTGGGTGGGTGAGCTGAGAGGAGCTGCAGGGGTCGGTGGAGGAGAAGGGGGAGGGGGGCCGTGTCCACTAGACACCTTTCTAAATTGGTATAATTTCAGTGACTCAGCTGACATAGCTTGGAGTACCGTGTCACCCGGCCCTCCGCCCAACCTTCTGCTCCAAC